CTTTAAAAATTTCCCAACCAGTTAAAAATGTAAAAACCATCCTTAGCTTGTGGATCATATGAAAACAGTGAGTTGTAGCTTGCTGACCCCCGTTCTAGACTACGGAGACTTTCTCTGAGTCAGGCGTCCTTCTAGTTTCCTTTCTGTAGAGGAAGCAGCCATGGGGCCTATTGTTTCTGTTTAAGACAATACTAGGCGGTGGTGGCCAGACTGACCATTTGGGACCGCTGAGACTATCTTGGAGGACAAATATGGAGGGAAGCGATCATTAGTAGAAGAGAAAGTAGTACATTAGAGATAGAGCAATAGTACATGTGCGAAAGGTGGGTAGGTGTTTAGGAAATAGATTCTCAAAGGTATCCCAGGCAGAAAGAAACCCAAGAAACCATAGACCTATAGCAATGGCCTTTTGGTTCTTTTAAAGCAATAATGTCACATTTTAGTTCTAAGAAGCAGCTCAGTAAAACCCGCAAATATCAAGAACCACGGGTGTTTGCAGGAGGTATTTCCAGGAGGCTTTTCTCAGAAGTTCCTAAGTACATGCCAGCTCTCAAAACCTCTGGACACACGTTGTTTTGAGGGCCACACAAATGCAGACTTTCAATTCACAAGTCAGCAGTCTTGGTTTCAGTTCCTCTTTCTGGAGCAACAGGCCTTAGATTCAGAGTGAAAGCTCTGAGGTTGAAGTGCAGGTTCCAGAAGTTTCCTCTAAACCAAACCAGCCAGGCCTGCCACTTGATAACCTAACTTTCTGGGGCACCAAGGGAAACCAAACCCATCCTACCAAAGACCCAACAGGGTATGGGAGTAGATAACCATCCCTGGTTTGACGGCCCATCTCCAGTTAGATGATAGAAATATATTTGTTATTGTTTCCACACTATTTTAAAATTATGTCATGGATACAATAGTGTTCTATAAAATATTTGATCACTAGAAAATCAGCTATGACCTCATGATAATACAACTGGGAAGTAGTAAGAGGACAGATATGTGGACACTCTATCAGTCTTACAGTGCAGGCCAATCCTGTATTTCCGAATAACTTGTACAAACACTGCCTTGAAGAACCACCCTCCCCCATTAGCACAAAATAGCCATAGAACAGGTTGTCTATATTAGGTATATATTTTTTTCTTTTAATGTTTTTTGTCTTGTTTTAACAGGCAATGCATACATAGGATAATAAAATGCAAACAGTACAGAAGGGTGCACAGTGAAAGGAAATTTCCCCATGCCACTTCCCTAAGACAGTTTCCTGTGTTCCCTTTCAGAGATATTCTATTTACAAGTATATGTGTGTTTACTTGGCTCGGGTGAAAATTACAAAGGGAAGTATGGACAGGTTCTTCCCAAGTGCCACAGGCTGTGATCAAGAGAGAGATTCGTGCGAAGGGTTCTCGGTAGGGAGAGGACCCTGGGCTTCAACCATCAGCTTAAAGCACCCCAGGACGGATCCTTTTATCTGGTTTGAGGCTCCCTCCCCTCCCCGCGGGGATTTCCTATGATAGGGCCCCTCCCCACTTAAGGCTTTTCAAGAAACCCCTCAAGGCCACCTATTAGTGCTGAAAGAGAAGGGTCCGTGACACCACCACCCCCGACCAAATTTAGAGTACCCAGCAGCCCGCTGGGGTCCCCAAGCGCTAGACACGGCTTAAACGCCTTCCCTGCAGGCAGGAGTACCGTGCGTCGTACCAAGACGGCCGAAATTCTGGGTCCCCTTCCCTGCTCGGGCCTCGAACTGGAAGAAGCCACAGCATTACCTCCCCCTCGCCCCTAAACTGGTCGGGGCAGTCCTCGGCTCCAGCAGTGGGTGTGTCGGGGCGGCGGGGAAGGGTTTAAGTCGGAACCGGCCTGTCCCAACGGCGGAAGGTCACCTGTAGCCACGGTTGGTGGCCCGCGGCGGGATGCGGTAGACGTGAACTTCTGGTTTAACGCAGAGGACCGACTCGTACCCGCTATCTTCCATCTCGACGCCTGGAGCCCACCAGACTTCCGGCTCCTTCCTCTGCCCCGCCCCCGGAAAGGCCGGAAGCGGTGCGACTCTATGACCACGCTCTGGCTAGAGCGGCGGCTCGTGGGCCTCAGCACCTCCTCGCCTGCGCGCCCTCTGCTGGCAGTTCTGGCTCAAGACACGCGGCGGACAGGCCCCAGCCACTGACTTGCGCAGAAGTCTGGTGCCCTGGAGGCTTCTCCTCCCACCAGGCACCCTCGGCCGGCCGCAGAGAACGCTTCCACACAGACCGCATGCAATCCGTGGTCTGGTTGTGGGTCACTCCCATCGCCTCAATTCTTAGGCCTGGGGCCCCGCTGGCTGAGATGCAAAGCCGTAGCGCTCCCTGCAGCATCTCTCCTCCAGCTTGTGCCTCTGCTCTGCCTCTGTGGCAGTGTTCTTCCTTCTGACTCTGTAAAGCTCAACCGAGCCTCTCCTTCAAGAGAAATCCTCACCCGACCCACCAAACTAAGTGAATGCCCCCACCCGACCTCTCCACGCTTAACTCTTACCGGAACCCGCTCATGTGTCCAGGTCCCCGTGTGGCCTAGGCTTAACAAGGAGTTGTACTCAGAGAAGCGAAGTTTAGTAACGTAAGTCATTTAAAAAGAATTCCAGTCTTAACTTGGATTTCCCAGAGAATATTCTAGGGGATACAATGTCTAACCATAGAAATTCTCAAAATCCCTTCTACCTACCATTCTCTCCTTAATTCCATGAATTGGGTGTCTGTAACATGCCAGGCCCTAGGTGGGGCCCATAGCTGATGCTAAATATCCAACTTATTGAATACTCCCAAACTGTCTCCAGCTCCTCTTCTTACAAGCTCTTTTTTTTTTTTTTGGAAACGGGGTCTAACTCTGTTACCCAGGCTGGAGTGTAGTGGCAGGATCGTAGCTCACTGCAGCCTCTAACTCCTGGGCTCAAGCAATCCTCCTGCCTCAGCTTCCTGAGTAGCTGAGACTACAGGCACTCACCACCACACATGGCTAATTGTTTTATTTTTTGTAAAGACCAGGGTCTCACTATTTTGCCCAGCCTGGTCTTGAACTCCTGGCGTCAAGGGATCCTCCTGCCTCAGCTTCCCAAAGTGTCGGGATTACAGGTGGGAGCCACCACGCCCAGCCTGTATAAGCTCTTTATTGTAGGATTGATCTAACTCTCACATTTTTATTGTGGTAAAATATATGTAACATAAATTTTACTGTTTTAACCATTTTAAGTTGTACCATGTAGTGAAATTGAGTACACTCACACTGTTGTGTAATCATACCATGATTTCCAGAACTTTATATCATCCCATACAGAAACTCTGTACCTATTAAGCAATACCTCCCCATTTCCCCAGCCCCCCAGCTCTTGGTAACCTCTATTCTTTGTGTGTCTATGAATTTGCCTATTCTAGAAACCACATACAAGTGGACTTGTGCAATATTTGTCCATGTATCTGGTTTATTTCACTTGGCATAATATTTTCTTTTCAAGGTTCATCCACATTGTAGCATGCATTAGAATTCCATTCCTTTTAAAGGCCGAATAATATTCTGTTGTATGTATATACCATATTTTGTTTATCCATTCATCTGTTGATGGACATTTGGGATGTTTCCACTTTTTGGTATTGTGACTAATGCTGCTGTGAACATTAGTGTACAAGTACTTGTTCAAGTCCTTGTTTTCAATTTTCTGGAGCACACACCAAGGAGCAGAACTGCTGGGCCACATGATAATTCCGTGCTTAGCTTTTTGAGGAACCTCCAAACCATTTTCCACAACAGCTGTATCATTTCACATTCCTACCAGTATTGCACAAGAGTTTCCATTTTTCCATTTTCCATTTTTCCATGTCCTTGCCAAGACTGGTTATTTCCCCTTTTTAAAAAAGAATAGCCATCGTAATGGGTATGAGGCTAACCTCCCTTTAGAAACCTCTCTGTATGTGAATTGATTTAACCTCCAGTTTTAACTTTGCTCATTACTTTGTTTCTCAGCTTACAAGGGAGAAATTGAGAAATGGACCAGAAACTGAGAGTTCTTCCTAATTGTTCTTAGTCTTGCCCTGGAATGATGAAAACAGAACTCCTCTTAAGGGTAGAAGAGGAGAGATGTTGAGAGTAGAGGGGAGAGGAGGGCACACTCCCACACAGAAACTCTTATGCACTCACATTCTCATCATCCTTTTGATTTGTCTGCTTGTCCACTAGACTGTGAGCTTCTTGAGGGCAGGAGGGCAGGACTGCCACCTTTGGATCCTGTATTCAGCAGCACAGGGCCTACCACAGTGAAATGAATGAGTGAGTGTGTGTGTGTGTGTGTGTGTGTGTGTGTGTGTGTGTGTGCGCGCGTGCGCGTGTGTGTTTTGAACTGCCTGTATTCCAAAGCCAAGTGGCAGTTTGGGGCTGGGCCACCACATTTTCTTTTTCATGCTCTGATTCCTTGCATCAGTGTGTGCTGAACAACATAGAGGAAAATAGGGTATCCTAGGAGTAAAACACATGGCCATTGAGTCAGAGAAACTTCCAGCTGGGAGAGCATCTAGGACCAGCTCTCAGGAGCTGAACCTTGGGATGGTGTCCACCATCAGCACCAACTTCCATCCCTTCTACTTTGGAAGCCAAGCAGCATGAAGGCAGCCTACTGTGACTGTTTGGGGGCTTTCCTATAGCTGCCACCGGTGGGGAACCTTTCCTCTCATGGGCTGCAAAGAGAATTGTCATTCCGTGCCAGGGACAGCCAGGTCTTACTATGTGTTCAGAGCTCTTCCAGTTCCATTCAGTCTAGCAAAGATGGGCACTGAGCACCTGCCCATACCAGGTGCTAAGTGCTGGGGCTACCCAGCTCCTGCTGTCATGGAGCTCACAGGCCAGAGGAGACAGCTAGAAAAGCAGTCATCTGCAAGGCAGAATGGAAGGTACTATGATGTAGCAAAGTTACAGGGGGCTGTGGGAGCAAACAGAAGACCCCTCACTCAATCAGGGGACAGTCAGGGAAAGACCTCTGGGAGAGGTTACCTTGGCACAATAACCCCTATGAGGTAGGCAGGGCAACAATTGTTATCCTCATTGTGTGATGGGGGCCACTGAAACAGTGACAAGCCAGGGGAAATGACACTACCTTGTAGTTGGAGGAGGTCAGACAGTCCTTTGCTTTATTCTCAAACCCTAAACTCATGGCTGGACATTCCCGAAATGCATTCTTAAACCTCTGCTGCTGAGAATAGCTGGACCTACCATCTACTCCCTACCTTGTATGCCAAACGAGTTCAATTCAAGCCAGCAGATGGAATATAGGCTCAGGTAGAGCCCATCCTGTGTGTGAGGAGGTGAGCAGGGGTGGGAAACCTCATTGTGATTCATCCAGCTGCTTTCTGGTAGGTTCAGGGCCAAGGTGGGGTTTTGATGTGGGCAAGCTTTCCTTGGCAGTCTCCAGAAATATTTATTCTAGGTCACTTATCTTTCTCTGCTCTATTTTCCTGCCATCATTGACATTTCCAAGAGAAGTTTCTCGATTTTTCGGGTGAGAAAACCACTTAGAAAAAAGGTACTCAATGCCAAAATAATCTTGAAAAAGAACAAAGTTGGAGGATTCACACCTCCCAATTTCAAAACTTAGTACAAAACCATAGTAATCAAGACAGGGTAGTGTGGCATAAGGATAGACATATAGATTAATGTAAAAAATTGAGAATCCAGAAATAAGTCCTCGCATTTATAGTCAGTTGACCCTTAATATTTTAAAATAAAAAATATATAGTCAGTTGACTTGCTGGAAGCATGCCAAGACAATTCAATGAGAAAGCATAGTCTTTTCAACAAATGATGCTGGGATGAGATATCCACATGCAAAAGAATGAAGTTGGATCCCTACCTCACACCATATACAAAAAGTAACTCCAAATAGATCAGGCCTAAGTGTAAGAGCTAAAACTATACAACTCCTAGAGGAAAACAGAAGTACAAATCTTCATGATCTTGGATTTATATTATAATAAGAATCTAATGGATTCTTAGATATGATACTAAAAAGCACAAGCAACAAAGGAAAAATAGATAAATTTAACAAAAATTAAAAACTTTTGTACTTTGAAAGACAAAAAACTGAAAATGCAATCCACATAATGGCAGAAAAATGTTGCAAATCATATATATGACTAGGCTCTTGTATCTAGAGTTTATAAGGAAAATTTACCATGTAGTAATAAAAAGGCAACTCAATATAAATGGGAAGAGGCTCTGAATAGACATTTTTCCATAAGAAAATAGACAGATGCCCATAAGGAAGGATCATCATCATCAGCCATCAAGGAAATGCAAATCAAAATCACAATGAGATAAGACTTTACACCTATACCCACTAGAATGGCTATAATAAAAAAGACAGATAATAACAAGTGTTGGAGAGGATGCAGAAAAACTGGAACACTCCTATGCTGCTGGTAGGAATGTAAAATACTACAACCACTTTGGAAAAGTCTGTCAATTACTCAAGGAGCTAAACAGAGTTACCATAGGGTCAGGAATTTCACTCCTAGGTATATACCCAAGAGAAATGAAAACATATGTTCATGTATGTGCACAAAAGTTCATAGCAGCATTATTCATTATAGCAGAAAAGAACTCAAGTGTTTATCCATTTATGAAGAGATAAATAAAATGTGGTCTATTCATACAATGGAATATTACTTGGCCATAAAAAGAAATGAAATTCTGATACATGCTACAACATGGATGAACCTTGAAAACATTATGCACATAATCTGAGCTATTTGATCAGGAAAAAAAAAAGAACAGAAAAAAACCACATTATATTAAGTGAAAGAAGCCACTCACCACATATTGTATGATTCCGTTTATATGAAATTTCCAGAATAGGTAAATCTATAAAGACAGAAAGTAGATTAATGTTTCCCTAGGGCTGAGTGGTGAGGGATGGGTGGGTTTGCTGGGGCTATTGGAAGTGATGGGTGTGGGGTTTCTTTTGAGGGTGATAAAAATGTTCTAAAATTGTTGTAATGGTTGCACAATTGCGTGAATATACTAAAAGCCATTGAATTGTACATTTTAAATGGGTAAATTATATGGTGTGTGAATTAAATCTCAATAAAGCTGTTAACAAAAAAGGGTACCAAATGATCTGAAAGGGGGACATTGTCTATATTTGCCAAGCCCTCCCCAAAATCTGTCCTTGAATTCCATGCCCCTCTTCTAGGGTTGGGGCTTCCCCTGCTTGTCTAAATTCTCACAGTTAGTAAGCTCCAGAGAGGGACGGATGAGAGGCTGGGTCTCCTCTGCCCCCTTAAACCTTTAGTTTGTGGAATATTGGGGCCTAAAAATTCCAAGGTGGAGACTGCATGTTCTGAGGTGGAGACAGTGGACAATGGGGGGCGTGTTTCAGGGGTCAGTGGGTGGCGGGAGATTTTCCCCAGATGGGTCATGCACCCCTGACACAGGAAGGCTCAGAGAAAGAGGGAATGATTAGGGGAACCCTAACAGGAGAAGGTGGGGGGAAAAAGAGGAGCTCCAAGGGAAGAGAGAGGGACTTGGTCACAGCCCTGACTTCTCTATGTCAAGTGAGAGCCTGGGTCCCCTGGGAGGCCAGAGCTGCAGGGGTGGGAGGTCACCTGGGAGCTGAGGTCTTGTTTGCATTGTGGGGGTGCGGGTTAGACTGCAGGAGGGACCTGGAGTGTAGGAGGAGGAAGCGGGGAGTTGGGTCGGCAGCTATTAAGTGCACCTCCTCTGTGCCCCAGGTGAACTGTGAGAGCCATCAGACACCCAGTGTGTCCCCAAGGCCTGACTAGGCACGTGTCATTAAACAGCTGTTGATTGCATGAGTGAATGAATGACTTAAGTTTCTTTGCAAGCTTATGCTAGAGTGAGATAAGCAGTCTGGGGGACCAGAGAGGCCTGGGTTCGAATCCAGCTCCTCTGAAGACCAGCCATGTGGGACTGGACAAGACATTGACTACTCTGAGCCTTGGTTTCCTTATCTTTAAAACAGGCCTGAAACCACTGGCCTCACAGGGCTCTTAGGAGAATACCGCTTGCAAACATGCCCAGCAAATAGAAGGCGTCTCCAGGGATGCTGGCTGGCCTGCCATGATTTAAAGTGGAAGAAGCACCATCAATATCTTCAAGGTCACAGGGTCTCCCTGGGGGTGGGGGGTAGGATTTGCCCTTGGAAACTAGTGAACAGTAAAAAGGGCCCTTGACATGCCTATAGAAATGGAGTTGATGTTGCCTCAAAGGAATGTAGTGGCCGGAGAGAGGCTAAGTGGGTCGGATGCTGAGCTGGGAGAAGAGTGGGGAGCTTGAGGGATGGGGGTGGGAGCTGTTGGAGGGGTAGGAAGTGGGGGGTGGGCACAGAGGCTGGGGTCTGTGGGATTGGGATTACTGGACTGGAACAGAAAGCTGTGTGGGGGATGGTGTGACGCAGCCAGGTGAGGGCGGGAGGGAGAGGCAGAGCGACACTAAGAAAGGCTTTAGAAAGGGATGCGTCCGGGGTAGGGTGTGGGTGCTTTGGCGAACTGCACATTGCCATTGGAGACCTTGGGGTCCCGAGACGGATGGACAGATGTTCCCAATTCCTGTTCCCTAGCTGCATCTAAGAGCACGGGGCCTCCACACAGCTGTGACATTCTCGGGCTCCCTTTAAAAGGCACATCAGTATTTTAAAGACATTGAGACGTCCGGCAGGAAAGAGCCTGTTCCATTTTGTTTAACCCATTTAGCCTCGGAACCTTGTGGAGCATCTCACGGGACCAAGATTCCAAACGACGACCTTCAGGAAACACTGCTGCGGGGGAAAGTGTGTGGGTGTGGGCTCTGACAGTCCACGGTTCAAAGCCTGCTCCGTGACCTAGTAGGTGTTGGACCCTGGGCAAGTCTCTTTGCAGTCCAGAGCCTCTTTTTTCCTTGGGCTCATTGTGAGAGTTAGGAGGAAAATGTGGCCAAACTGCATGTGCCTGTCCTTGCTGGCCCAGCCCTGCCTTTCCCTAAGCCAGGCTTTCTCCGTTGCAGGCTCCACGTGGGCTACTGAAGCAGCACTGGGTCATGGGCTTGGTGGAGCCTTGACCGGATTTCTCCTGTGGGAGACAGCAGCCGATGCCCCTCACTTAGCACCCTTGTTGGCCCTGGCATGACGGACAACAGAAATGCCCAGGTGGACACAGAGGGTTGGACCAAGGCTCCAGGGGCCCAGTCAAGTCCTGGCCTGAGGATCAGCAGAAGGATGGCTGATGTTGAGCCCACCACATCAGGAGTCAGCCAGGTAGGGACCTCATGTTCTGACCCCTCCACTCCCAGCTGGCCCCTTTCCCTTTCCCTGCCCCGGCTTCTTCCCCAACTGCTTTAATTAAGACTCTCAGTTATAAGGACACAAAACCCAAGTTAAGCTGGATTAAGCAGGAATGAGAATATATTAGTTTGGGTGACTGACAAATCCATGATAGACTTCAGGTATGGCTGGATCAAGGTGCTAAATGAGTATCTCTTGGCTCTACCTTCCTCTGTGTTGTATGCATTCCCAGACAGGCCTTCCCTGCCAGGTAGCAAGGATCATCCTGGCTTTGCTGCAGGATTACACGTTCCCATCTTACATCCCCTGGTCTAGCATCCCCAGCGGGAAGAAAACCTCTGCAATACTCGAAGCAAGTCTCTGGCATCACTGCCATTGGCCCAGATTGTAGTCACATACTCATCCCTGAACCAGTCACCATGGCAGGGGGAGTGGCCTGGATCTCTTGGTACGGTAGAGACAGAGGTGATAGTTGGCTCCACTGAGCTCCATGGGTCAAATGGAGAAGGGAAGGGTGCTGCAAAAAGAATGCCGGCTTCTGTCACAGGACGTGATGCTGGGTGAGCAAACCCAGAACTGCCTCCTTATTCTACTTGGTGCCTTCCATGGCCTATGGTCCTCTTGTGGCCTCCAGCTCCCTTCTATTCCCCTGACAGTTACTCAGGGCTCCATCCCTGCCCCTCACCAGCCCCCTGCCAGTATCCTAAGCTTCCACCACCCCTCGGCCTCTTTCCATTAAGTATGTTCCTTTTGAAAGTGCCAAGAAGCATGAACTGAAGAGCATAAAGAAGATCCTCCTCCCGGCTGGCGCGGTGGCTCACGCCTGTAATCCTAGCACTCTGGGAGGCTGAGGTGGCCGGATTGCTCGAGGTCAGAAGTTCGAGACCAGCCTGAGCAAGAGCAAGACCCTGTCTCTACTATAAATAGAAAGAAATTAATTGGCCAACTAACATATATAGAAAATATTAGCCAGGCATGGTGGCGCATGCCTGTAGTCCCAGCTACTCGGGAGGCTGAGGCAGGGGGATCACTTGAGCCCAGGAGTTTGAGGTTGCTGTGAGCTAGGTTGATGTCACGGCACTCATTCTAGCATGGGCAACAAAGTGAGACTCTGTCTCAAAAAAAAAAAAAAAAAAAAGATCCTCCTCCCCATCCAGTTTTCCCAGGGCCAAAAATGTCACCATTAAAAAAGTCAGCATCCCCTTGAGTTAAGTATTACCCTGCCTCATGGCCTCTAGTATAATCCTGGCCGCCCCTGGGGCGGGGAGAGGGCCTGGAGGGGAGCAGCCTTGGATGGAGGCTGGGCAAACAGTCAGGGCTTCCTTCATCCACTTATTTATTTATTTATTTATTTATTTATTTATTTGAGACAGAGTCTCACTCTGTTGCCCGGGCTAGAGTGCTGTGGCGTCAGCCTAGCTCATAGCAACCTCAAACTCCTGGACTCAAGCGATCCTCCTGCCTCAGCCTCCCGAGTAGCTGGTACTACAGGCATGCGCCACCATGCCCAGCTAATTTGTTCTATATAGTTGGCCAATTAAATTATTTCTATTTTTTAGTAGAGACGGGGTCTCACTATTTCTCAGGCTGGTTTCAAACTCCTGACCTTAAGCGCTCCTCCCACCTCGGCCTCCCAGAGTGCTAGGATTACAGGCGTGAGCCACCGCGCCCGGCCTGAGCCTCACTTGTTTTATGTTGAGAACTAACTGGGTTAAATCCCCAGAAGGCACCTGGCACAGGTCCTGCCTCATGGTAGGTGCCCATCTGCATTAGGTCGAATCAGAGTTGTTTATTATAACAATGAATATCAGTTAATTAATTGAGTCAGGCCATTTGGAGTTTGCTGCTTCCAGTGAGGCTTGGAGCTGGGTCCAGGTCCCTCAGTTGGAGAGTGATGGACCGAGACAGTGATCAAATCCCAGTTCCAGAGCTTGAGATTTGAAGTAGTGGAAATCGCGGAAAGCCTCTCCAAAACACTGTGAGGGTCTTGGAGTCCCCTAGACTGCTCTGTCAAGCTGTCCTTGGGGCGATCCCCTTGTCTCAGGTTCTAATCTGAACTCCAGGTTCATGCCAGAGCCTTTAGTGCTACGCGACAGCTCCCGGCTGGGCCAGGCCCTGCGCCCCAGCCTCTCTCTCCCTTCCTCTCGGCTCCTCCTCACCTCTCTCCAACGCCTCCTCCAGCTAGGCACAGGACCTACCTGTCCCTGTGGCCACGAGGATGCCTGGGGAGACTGGGGGGAACCACTCCTTGGCACTTAAGGCCAGGCCTTGAGCCAGTGCCACTGGCATCTCTGTCCAGGTCGTGTTTCCAGATGCTACAGAAGTGAGCAGTGGGACACAGCCCTTATCCGCTCCAGGAGGGCCAGAGAAGGAGCCCGAACACAGAGACGCATCCGAGGAGGGGCCTCCAGAGCTCAGGACTCAGGAGCAGAGGCCTCCAGCAAGACCAAGGTGAGCTGAGGGGCTTCCCAGAGAACAGGTCCAGGAGAGAATCCCCTGGAACCCACCTGGAGGGGAGAGAGAATTTAGAACTCCCAGACTAAGGCTGGTCCACCTGGACACAGCACCGTTTACTGCTCTCTCATGGCGCTACTTGCACTAAGTCTATTCGTGTTAACCTTTTATCCCAGCTCCCCCACTAGAACACAAACCTCTTTTTTTTTTTGAGACAGAGTCTAGCTTTGTTGCCCAGGCTAGAGTGAGTGCCCTGGCGTCAACCTAGCTCACAGCAACCTCAAACTCCTGGGCTCAAGCAATCCTCCTGCCTCAGCCTCCCGAGTAGCTGGGACTACAGGCATGCGCCACCATGCCCGGCTAATTTATATATATATATATGTATATATATATTAGTTGGCCAATTAATTTCTTTCTATGTATAGTAGAGACAGGGTCTCGCTCTTGCTCAGGCTGGTTTCGAACTCCTGACCTTGAGCAATCCGCCTGCCTTGGCCTCCCAGAGTGCTAGGATTACAGGCGTGAGCCACCGTGCCCAGCCACATAAACCTCTTTTACGTGTCTCATTCAAGGGGCATTTATATGTCCTGTTTGGCTGCAAATCCTTCATACCTGGTACTGTGCCTGGTATACAGTAGATGCTCAATAAATACGGATTCACTGCATTAATAGAGGAATGAACAAAAGAAGCTGAGAGACACAGAAACGCACAAAGATTTACGTGATATTATTATTTTCTAAATTTTGTATCCATTTTTAACCTTTTCTCTGGCAAGAATGTATTCTTTCTAAAAAGAGAAGGTGGAGAGAGGGCCAGAGAGAGGCAAAGTGAAAGACATGAGTCTAGCTGGCTTATCATTTAAATTTGATTATAACCAAAAACTCCTAAAAAACCCTCTTCTATATGAAAAGTTAGGGGAATTAACCCAAGCCAGGTTTGAGCCCCCCGAGATAAACACTGCATTCCACAAGCACATGCACACCGTGTTGGTGAAAATATAAACCATTTCAACATATGTTTCATCAACTGGGCAGTTTGTTTAAACTGCCTTTAAACTGTCCTTACCTTCACCCATTTTCTAGAAATAGGCCCTAAGGAAATAATTGGTGATTCAGGCAAAGTTTTATGCACAAAGATTTTCACTGTCATATTATTTTAAATACTAAAAACCTGGAAATCCCCTAAATTGTCCACACAATAGGGAAATGTTCAATGACAGTTATCTATAAAATATGGAATTTTATACATTCATTAACAAGCATTTTTCTGAAGGATTTTTTTGCATGGAAAAAATTTAGGCTATAATGTTAATTGAAAGAAGTAGACCACAAAATTGTATATACAATGTGACTGGAACTATTAAAAATCATGCAATTATTTGAAGATGGCAATTAAGTAAATCCCCATTAAAAATATGCACATAGTCCGGGCGCAGTGGCTCACGCCTATAATCCTAGCACTCTGGGTAGCCCAGGTGGGCGGATTGCTTGAGGTCAGGAGTTCGAAACCAGCCTGAGCAAGAGCGAGACCCTGTCTCTACCATAAATAGAAACAAATGAATTGGCCAACTAATATATATAGAAAAAATTGGCCGGGCATGATGGCGCATGCCTGTAGTCCCAGCCACTCGGGAGGCTGAGGCAGGAGGATTGCTTGAGCCCAGGAGTTTGAGGTTGCTGTGAGCTAGGCTGACGCCACGGCACTCACTCTAGCCTGGGCAACAAAGTGAGACTCTGTCTCAAAACAAAACAAAACAAAAAATATACGCATGTATACACATAGGAAGAAGCCGGGAGGAAATACCCCAGAGCATTAACGTGAGATCAGATGGACATAAAGTCCGATTTCAAGCTGTTACCTTTCCCTAGGCTCAAAGTCTCTTAACCTCTCTGCCACCCAGTTCTGATTTTTCTATTTCTTTTTTTCCTGAAAAACAATAAATAATACTAAAAAACTTAAATCCTAACCCCCCTAAACATTGACACCAAAGTGTCTGTGGTTTGAGGAATTCATATGAGTCCTTCATTTGTTCTCCTGGGCATTAAGTATGCACCTGTGGTGTGTCTAACTCTGTAAGAATGTGAAACAATGCCCCGGTCTGGGAGTCGAGGTGTCCCTTGTCTGTTTTCCCAGGAAGAAGCAGTCATCTTGGGCGCCCCAGGAAGGGCCTGCGGAGCTGCAAGCAGGCCAGGATCAGCCTGAGCCAGAGAGTGAGCTGGAGGTGCCGCCTGGCAGGGCTTCTCCGGTACCTGAAGGGCCGCAGCAGCCAGGCTCCCAGAAGGAGACTGAGGGCCAGCAGGGGAGGCAACAGAACCCAGAGACTGAGGAGGGTCAGCTCCCCGAGAGCTGCCAGGTAACTCCCCCGGGGATCCGGGCAGAAGGGAATGGAATGACCTACCCATAGGGGAAGCAACCCCCTGCCAACCCCCTGGTCCTCCCACCCCATTCACTCACGTTTGCTCCCCTCTGTACTGCTGAGTGCCCGGCTGTGTGGGTCGCTGGGATGTCCCCCAGCCTGCACCGCAAGCACTGAAGTCTTGCTCCCAGAGTGGCCCCACAGGTGAGGGTTTCTGTATACAGATAACATTAGGGCATGTTGGGTTTAGCAAAGCTGAGACAGGTTTCTGTATGCAAGGATATCCTAGAACCACTCTATTAGCTGCTGAGCCTGTGGGGTCTTGCAAGACAAGTTAGAGTACATTGCCTTTTCTAAACTTACTTGACTACAAAATAAGGTCCTGTTTAAAAAAAAAAAAACAGCTTCAGTGAGGTATAATTGACAGACACTTGCACAATGTAGTGTTTTGACACAGGAATACACCCATGAAGCCACGACCACAGTGGAGAAAACAGCGAACCTATCCATCACCCCCCAGCCATCCCCCCACCAGGTTTCCTTGTGCCTTTCTCACCCCTCCTCCCTCTAAGTTCCCATTCCCAGCAGTCACTGCCTATCATTATAGATTTGTTTGTATTTCCTGGAATTTTACTTAAATGAAATTGTACAATATAAATTCTTCTTTCACTTAGCATGTTTATTTTGAGATTCATCTATGTCACAGTGTGTATCAATACTTTGGGTTTTTTTTGTTGTCGTTGCTCAGTAGTGTTCCGTTGCATGGCTATCCCACCATTTACTTATCCATTCACCTATTGATGCACACGTAGGTTGTTTCCTTTTTCTTTTTTTGGAGACAGAGTCTCGCTCTGTCACCCAGGGTAGAGTGCCGTGATGTCAGCCTAGCTCACAGCAATATCAAACTCCTGGGCTCAAGTGATCCTCCTGCCTCAGCCTCCCAAGTAGCCTGGACTACAGGCATTCGCCGCCATGCCCGGCTAATTTTTTTAGTAGAGACAGGTCTCCGTTCTGCATCCATGCGGTCCTCACAAACTGTCCCCATACACAAAACAGGATGCCAGACCGACAAAGGTGGTGAGCGACCGTGCTCGCGTCGCCAGTTTCACCACTTTTGACTATTATCAAATAAAAACATAAACTGGGCCGAAAGTGCGACATGGAATGACGATGCTCAACACGCTTGGTGAAAACACACAACAGTGACTGAGTCTCATGCCAGAATAGGAAAGGGGGGGATTGCTCGAAGTGAGACCACATTCCAAAGTTGAATATCAGCCCTGGGAGCAAGAGCAAGACTCGGTTTTTTGACAAAACTTAACGTCTCATAACTATAGTCACTTAATTAAACCGTAAGGAAGAAAAAATATTAATGCACAATATAATAGATAAAAAAGAGATCTTTAGCCCGTGCATGCGTGTGCATCCCTGTAGTCCCACACAACTCGGGTGCGAGGGAATAATTGGCCCGCCAGGAGGCAGTCCAATCGACTATGCTGCAATGAGCAAGACTCGGTTCCAGAAAACAAAAAAAAAAAAAAAACCCCAAAAAACCAAAAAAATACTAAAATACATATGTGTACATCTAGACATCCCATATGCCCCTCTCTAGGCCCAAATAGCACTACGAAGGAAGGTCTCCAGACGCCTGGATTGTTTACTCTGTTAAGATAACCCATAAACTTCTTCCCAAAGTAGTTGTACAAATTTACTCATTATTATGTAGAGACAGATTCTGCTGATTAGCCCTGCCCAGAGCTAGAGAGTGAGATGCATCCGTGCCCATCCAGCCCAGCGCACCAGCAACCTCCAAACTCCCTGGCCTCGCATATCCCTAAACCTTAGGCCAAATGTTCAAGCACACCTCCCTGAGTACGCTGGGAGCTTAACAGGCATGACAATACTATACACAAGCCATGTTCGTACGCCGAAAGGGGTGAAAACTATAAACTAATTTTTCTTCAATCATTGAAGAAAAGCATAACCTAGAAAATTCTATGTGAAAGCGCTCTTGCGCAATTAATTTATTCGATTACTAAGCTAAAGACGGGGGAAGAGGGGGTCTACCTCAGCTCCCTTAGAGACAACAAGGCTGTTTAACTCCTGACCTTCCGAAGCAAGTCCTCCCCGCCTCCCTAGCCTCCAAGTGCTACGAAATAGGCCGTGAGCCCCACCCCCAAATGCCCGGCCCGGGAGTATTACCATCCCACACCCCTCACCATCCAAGCAAATGTACAAGAATTCCAGTTGCTCCACATCCTCCTATAACTTGGTGTGGTCAACCTTTTTAATTTTAAGCATACAAATAGTGTGTAGTGGAATTTCATCATGTCCTTAGTTTGAGTTTCCTTAATAACCAATGATGTTGAGAGCATTTTTTCATGTGCTATGGACCGTTTGTATATCTTTTTCAGAGAAATGTCTAGTCAGATACTTTGCCTGTCATTTTAATTGTATTGGTCATTTTATTGTTGAGTCGTAAGAGTTCTTTTTGTATCCTGGATACCAGACTCTTGTCTGTATACAATTAATTTTTTTTTCCGATTTTGTAGTTTTTTTATTTTCACTTTCTGCTCTTTTCTAAAAATATTTGTTAGTTGTGTTCTTATTATTGGGTTTTGAGAGCTCTTATCTATCCTGAATACAAATCCTTTTTCTGATATATTAATATGATTTGCAAATGTTTTCTCCAATCTGTGGCTTGTCTTTTCTGTTCTCTAAACAGTGACTTTCAAAAAACAGAAGTTCTTATTTTGATAAAGTCTAATTTATCAATTTTTTCTTTTATTGATGTTATATCTTAGAAATTTTTGCTCAGCCCAGGGTCACATAGAATTTTCTTATGTTTTCTTCAAGTTTTATAGTTTTCAACCTTTCAAACTTTATAGTTTTAGGTTTAACATTTAGGTTTATGATCCATCTTGAGTTCATTTTTGTATGAGGTATGAGTTTGGGATGGAAGTTTATTTTTCTTTGCATGTGGCTGTCCAATTATTCCAGCACCATTTGTTGAAGACGATCCTTTCCCCACTAAATTTTATTTTTGTCAAAAACCAATTGACCACATATGTGGGTCTATTTGTAGACTCTCTGTTTTGTTCCATTCATCTATTCATCTTTCCTTATTCCAGGACCACATTGTGTTGGTTACAGTTACTTTATCCTAAGTCTTTTTTTTTTTTGAGACAGAGTCTAGCTTTGTTGCCCAGGCTAGAGTGAGTGCCCTGGCGTCAGCCTAGCTCACAGCAACCTCAAACTCCTGGGCTCAAGCAATCCTGCTGCCTCAGCCTCCCGAGTAGCTGGGACTACAGGCGTGCACCACCATGCCCAGCTAATTTTTTCTATATATATTAGTTGGCCAATTAATTTCTTTCTATTTATAGTATAGACAGGGTCTTGCTCTTGCTCAGGCTGGTTTTGAACTCCTGACCTCGAGCAATCCACCCGCCTCGGCCTCCCAGAATGCTAGGATTACAGGCATGAGCCACTGCGCCCAGCCTAAGTCTTAACATTAGTTAGTGTAAACCTGCTTTCTAAGGAGCATCATGAGGGATTATTGATCTTTGAAACAACCCTTGGAAAATGCCATGTAAAGGGCATCTTCTCACTTTTCCAGGCTCCCATTCCACCTTCCCAGGGATCATGACTTTGGGTAGGCCACACCTTCTCTGGGCCTCAATTGTCACATCCCTCAAAACGTGGGGGTCCCTGTGCTTACCTTCTAGAGGTGCTGGGAGGATTCAGTAAGATGGTGCCTGCAGTGCCTGGACCCTAGGAATCGTGCAATAACTGGTTTCCGGGTGGGTGTGAGGTTCACCTGGGAGCCATGATGGGGCTCCCCATCCTTGGTGTCCTTGTCCTTGGCAGGGCCCCAACTATCAGCCCAGCTCAGATCACCAGGCAGCAAATGGGTTGGATGTGGTGCAGCCGACAGAGCCTTGCTGCGTCTTGGACAGCTGTGGACAGCTGTGTCTTGAGCCGCTGGGAGACAGGCCCTCCAAGGAGGCCAGCAGCCCACACGTCGGGGCCCAGGCAGCTGTGCCAGAGCCTGGCCCAGGGGAACTTGGGGAAAGCTCCCAAGGAACAACACCGCCAAGGCCCACGGCAACTCCAGAGGAAAAGCCAGCCAGCCCCTCCCTGCCAACCACGCCAGGACATGAAACACCCAAAGACGGGTAAGTCATTCTCCAATGCCACCCCCGGCCCCACTCCCTGCTCCCAACAAAGTTGCTCTTCTGCCAAAAGTCACAGGTGAGGTGAATTCTAGTCCTGACCTGGAGTCGGATCTTGGGCAAGTCATGCCTCTCTAGGCCTCAGTTTCCCCATCTGGATAACAGCTCCAATACCAGAATTCTTTGTTCCGTGGGCCTGAATACATGGGGGTGTGAGGGAATAAGGAGCCCCTCTGAGAGGAGAAGGCCGAGTGGATGAGGCCGGGGTGCTGGAACCGAGTGTCCTGGGGGCTGAGAGGTGGGCGCGAGGGGCAAGCCTTGGGCTGAGCCCTCCCCCACCTGGGGGTTTCTCTCCTATTTAGGGGCGAGGCTGTGGAGACGCAGCCAGCACCGGGGCCTCTTCCTCCACCAGTAAGTAGGGCCACAGTGGGGATGGGGATGGGAGGTAGGGGGTGTGGGGACTCAGGAGGAGGAAGGGGACGAAGGTGGAACTCGGACAGTATTTGGAGTAAACTGGGGAAGGTGTGCGTGTGAGAATGTGCACATGTATGTGCATGTGTGTATGTGTGTGCTTGTCCATATGCAAGTGTGTACGTATGTATGTGTATTTTGAGTCAGAGTCAAAGGTGCTCTTACACCCTGGAGCCCTTGGGATCATCCCAGGTGGTGGCTCGTTCCACATCAGTGTGGGTTTCTTCCAGCCACTGGTCCTCAGCCACAGCCACATGATCCAAAGCTTCCCTGAACACCTGGGAGGCTTCCCAACCCCTCCCAACCGTCCCCTCCTCTTTGACCTGACCAGACAACCTGCAAATACACAGTGTCATGATCGAGCCCTGCCAACACCTGCGCCCGTCTCTTCCTGTTGTATGCACTGGCAAAACCCCAACGCTGGCTGAGCCCAGTCAGCCGTGTCCCCTGCACCTGCACTGGAGCAGCTCAGCACAGTTGCAGAAGTCACATGGCAGTTGCAGATGGTCACATGGCAGTGACCATCCATGTCAGATGCTCCTGGCAATCCTTGCTGCTCCCTGCCACTCCACCGGCCCCCTCTGCTCCAGGATGCCCCCCCATGCCCTGCATCTTGCCTCATCTGTCACTGAAACAGGAGATGCATCAGATGAGAAAAGCACCCCAAATCCACTGCCCTTCCCGCCTTTACTTGGCTACGATGGAAGCTGTGCAGAGGGGTCCCGCTTACTGATTAGGTCCCACCCCCCACACATGACGAATCTCCCCATTTCTACAGGATCATTCCTATCGGCACCCACATGGGTCAGTATGTGCCATATTCAAAGCCAAACACCAGCCCCTCCCCTGCCCATAACCCCCCTTTGCTCCCTTTCACAGCACAACCCTCCCAGAGTCATCCCCCAACTGGCTCCATGCACTTGTCTTTCCCCAGCCCCTCCCAACATGAGACTTCTTACTGAGGTCTCAAGGATCTCCATTTGGCTAAATCAAACAGAGTAGCATAGTCCTTACAGAGCCTGCCTCAAAACCCTGGGGACACAGCGGCTCCCTCCCTCCCCCTCCCCTGCTGGCTTCTCCAGGCTCCAGGGCAGCCTCACCCTCAGTTCCCCTCCTGTTTCGATGCTCCCCAGTCTCCTCCCTGCTTCCTCCTCCCCTTCTCTGCCCTCAGCACTCCACCCCCTCTCACAACTCCACTCCCTCCCTGGGTGATCCCAGTCAACCTCTCTGATCAGTCCCAAACCCATATCTCCAGGCCAGACAGGGCCTTTAAATCCCAGGCTCATAGATGCAACTGCTGAACTGAATTCCACCTGACTGGCTAAGTCCCTTCTCAAACATGACCAGAGCCTAGTCTCCCTCATCTCAGCAGGTGACACTGCCTTTCACCCAGGGGCTCATGCCGAGCAACTCAAAATCACTTCCAATTCCCCTTGTCCCTTCTGCAGTCCCATGGTGCCCAAAGCATCAACAAGCTGTGCTGGCGCTACCTACAAACTAAATCCTGAATCCATCCCTTCCCCACCCCCTCTCCCATCAGCCTGCTCCAAGCCTCATCCTCTTAGAATAAGGTCCAAATCTTCACCAAGGCTCACCCGGCCTTACGTCTAGCCATTCTACCCTGACCCCAGCCCTTGAATATGATCAGCTTGTTCCCACCTCAGGGCCTTTGCACGTGCTACCCCGCGCCTGAAATACTCCCCAGAGACATTCTCGTGGCGGACTCTGGAGTCATTCAGGTTTCAACTTAAATGTCACTTTCTGAGCAAGGCCTTTCCTGACCACCTGATCCCAAATAGCCTGTCAGCCATATCACTCTGTCACAGAGTGTTTTATTGTCTTGATAATACTTTCTCCATCTGACATTATCTTCTTAATTTGCTGATTATTCATAATCTAGAGCATAAAACTCCATGAGCAGCCACTCTATTTTATTCACCACTCTGCCTAAAACAAGGCACAGAGTGTGGGCTCATAGGAATCTGTGACTAGACGGATGGATGGGAATGATATGAGGCACCTCTCTGCACTGACGAGAAGTCAGATGAGAAATAGGGAATGTTCCTTGTGTGTGTATCTCCTCTTCTGGCTGCCTGCCACCTGCACAGCCTGGGCTGGAGAAGGTGGGGGAGGAAGGGGGTGCACAACTGATTCCACAGTATGTTCTGAGTGTCTGCGGCGTGCCCGGCCCTGTGCTGCGAGGGCTGGGGCAAGGAAAGCAGGGGCCAGCTCCCCGCTCCTAAGGACATGCTGAACTGGCAGGACCAGAAGAGACGAGCGGTCCTGGATGGGCAAGTCTACAGGCGCGTTCAGGGAAGGAGCCCTGACGCCGTCAGGCCGGCTTCCGGAGAGAGGGGGCTGCTGTCAGGCCACGTGAGGGGTGGAATATGGACAGAGCCGGGAAGGCGAAAGGGCACCCGGGCAGCAGGCCCAGCACTAGCAAAGGTACAGAGGTGGGAGTGGACACGGAGCAAGGGGTGACGATGGAAAGACGGGCCTCGTGGGACAAGGATGCCGGCTGTAAGGGACTCGTAGCCCCACTTGTCTGTAAGTGCGGACTTACAGCCGTGCTTGTCTTCCTGTGATGGCCTGGCAGCAGGAAAGCGTGGCCGGGCCCTCACAGGAAGCCTCCAGGATGTGAAGCAGGGTCACTGCACTGGCCACCAGCTTGTCTGAGTCCAGTCTGAGGCAGAGCACCCCACTCACAGGTCACCTGACTCGGGTTTGTTACTTACAGATAGGCAGCAAGGGACAACGGAGGCCTTGGATTCAGTGTGAGCCGGTCCCCCAAGGCTCAGGAAAACTGCCTGGGCCAGATGGAGTCTTGTCTTGTGTGCTCCGCTTGCCGGCGAGGCCGTGGGGAAGTCGGAACCCTGTGCACTGCTGGTGGGAATGTGGCGGAAAACAGTATGGCAGTGCCTCAAAAAATTACAATTAGGCCGGGCGCAGTGGCTCACACCTGTAATCCTAGCACTCTGGGAGGCCGAGGCAGGAGGATTGCTCAAGGTCAGGAGTTCAAAACCAGCCTGAGCAAGAGCGAGACCCCATCTCTACTATAAATAGAAAGAAATTAATTGGCCAACTAATATATATATAATTAATTGGCCAACTAATATATATATAATTAGCTAGGCATGGTGGTGCATGCCTGTAGTCCCAGCTACTCGGGAGGCTGAGGCAGGGAGGATCACTTGAGCCCAGGAGTCTGAGGTTGCTGTGAGCTAGGCTGACGCCACGGCACTCTCTCTAGCCTGGGCAACAAAGCAAGACTCAGTTTCAAAAAAAAAAAAAGTTGGAAAAGCAAAACAGGACTCTAGTCTGGGGCCCGAGGACAAGTGGTGTCATTAACTGAGACAGTAACCTAGGGAGGCAGCAGGTGGAAAGAACCCAGGGTTTGGGTCTGTTCTAGATACCCAAGGAGGATGGCTGGTGTTAGGAAGGACACGGAAATGTGGGGAAAGTGGAGTCATGGGTAGGAGGACGGCGTCTGGGGCGGGGAGTGGATACGGAGCAGGGAGCAGGGTGAGGACAAGTGTCTGGGGCTCCGTGGCATTGAGAGCAAGAGTGAGGAGGAGCCCCTGAGGCAGACCAGGGAGTGGCCGTCGAGGGTGGGTTTCCAGAAGGACAGAGTGGTCATCTATGCCTAACGCTGCCGAGGAGCCGGCTCAGACGAGGGCAGAGATCTGCCCGCAGCCCTGGCCAGAACAGCTGTGGGCAGTGGTGGGCAGAAGCCTGATCGGAGATGGGAGGGAAGGAAGTGGAGACAGAGAACAGCCAGCTCTTTCAAGGAATTTCTCGAGGGCTTTGGTGTCAGGAAGGTTTTTTGTTTTGTTTTTAAAGAAGGAAGGCAATATAGTGACATGTGCTGGGAGTGATCTGGTGGAGAAAGTAAAGCTGATACTTGAGGAAGAGAGAGAGTATGGCAAGAGCAGCGTCTTTGATTGGGAGAAAGACCTGGCCTAGTCACAGGCAGGTGGGGACAGCCCATTCTTCTCACGGGAGGGAACAGATGCAGGAGGGGCTGGGTTTGCTGAATGAAGGAAAGGGGTTTACTGAGCGCCTGCCATGTGCTGGTTGCTGGGCATATGTGGATAAAAGCTGCAGACAACGCCCTGTCCTCGTGGTGCTTGCTTTCTGGTCAGGCAGGCAGACAACGGGCATGAACAGGTCAAGTGGTGGGACCAGGAGTGGCTCACTCAAGACCTCAGCGCACAGAGCTGGGAGGTGCCAGGTCAAGTGTCGGGGAGGACACAGGGTGGGAGCCCAGTGAGATGCATGTGAGATGTGGGGTACATCCTCTAAGGGCTCAGAGAGCAGGGGGCAGTTCGAGGATCCCCAGAGAGTGGGTGGCAGGAAGAAGCTCTGCTGGAGCCCAGCTGGCTGCTGGCCTCCCGGATTGCCCTCCCCCGTCCCCAGGAGGTGAGGGATGCTGGAGAAAGGAGGGAGCTGGACCGTGCACAGAAGCAGCCTCAGGAGCCCATGGTGGCCACAGCGACGCAGAACCTCAGCAGCCTCCGGCAGGGCTTCATGAAGTGCTTGCTGGAGGTGGAGGCGGCGGAGGCCACCCATCGGAGGGCCTCGAAGGCCCGGACCTCACCATCCCGCAAGTCCCCCAGGACCCTGACCCCCGGGCCCACCGCAGCCCCCGTCGGCAACTCAGCCCCGAGCCTCCCTCTGACCCTGCCTCAGACGCCCCCCTCGGCCCCTGCCACTGCCCCGCCGTGGGCTCGGACGCCAGCACCCGGGCCAGTCCCTGCCCCCGTGGGAGCCCCGGTCCCAGCCTCAGCGCCTGGCACGGTACTGTCCATCCCTCTCCTGGACCTGCGCTGGAGAAGGACGGAACTCTTGTACCACAGCAGCGAGAGGAGCCTGGGCTACACCAAAGCACGGTAGGCGCCGCGCCCCGCTCACCCACCTGCCCCTGAAAGGCTCCCCAAGACCAGAGCCTTGTCCCAGACTCTCGTCCCTGGCACTGCACCTGCCTGTCCCGCTCTCTGCATGTCCCAGCTCTGCGTCTCTGTGTCTCCCGTCTCTGTCCCCTCTCTCATTTCTGACCCCTGGGTCTCTCCTCTAGTCCCCCTTCTGCTCTGCCTCACTCCTTCTCTGGGTCACTCTCTTTTCCTGTCACTCTTGGCCTCTGGGGACCCCCAATTCACCCCACGACCTCCTGCAGCAGTCTCCCCTTCACCGTCCCCGCCATGGGTGGCAGCTGTGGGCAGGGCTGCGTGGCTGGACGTTGCCCCGGCCCCGCTTCTGTCCTCTGCAGGCAGGAGTCAGAAGAGCGCAGCCTGCTGAAGTTGTACCAGAGCTGGGAGGACAGGTGGGAGGACAGGTGCGAGGAGCACCTCACCCTGAGGCAAGAGGAAGGTGAGGGCAGGGAGGCCCCCTGCACAGGCAGAACCCTCAGCCCTCTGGGGTGGCCTGGAGTAGGGTGGGCTGGGGTATCACACAGATCAGCTGCCCCGGTGCCCACCACGGCCCTGTGTGTGGGACCTAGCGGGGGTTGTCTGCATTTGGCCCTGGGGGACAGTACAGGGCAGGAGGTTGGCCCAAGCTCACAGGGCACTGGGTGGGGGAGCCAGAGCCCATGCTGTCTCCTCTGCTCCGAGGTCCAGTGTCCTTCCCGCTCCAGAGTTGCCTCTCTGAGTGACAGGAGCCCTGCAAAGGGCTCTGGGGTTTGGAGGTGTTTCTGCCTCCCTCCACCCAAGCCCCCTTTATTGGTCCTCTTTAGATAAGGCAGACTCGATGGGAGGCAGGGCCCCAAGGCCCCCTGCCCATCCCAGACAGCCCCTCACTATTTAACAAGGCCACCACCTTGGGCACGTCCCACTCCTATCATATCCCACCTCTACCAAAAAGTTTAAAAGTTCTGAGCATCCCCTAGGTGACATGCTGTGCTCTTTGCCCTCCATTGTCCTGGGGCGGGCCTTGTGACCCCACTCCAACACCCTAGCCCTAGAACAATCATGTATGTCCTCCTTCCACCCCTGCTCCTCACCCAACTATCTTGGCCACAGCGGCCCCTTCCCACGGCTTCTCTGGCTCCCTGTGACCTCGTCCTTGAAGTTCCCTCCTTTCAGCATTAAAATTGCCCAGCCACCATCCTACACACAGCACCAGGGCCCCGCCTCCTTGAGCAAGTGGTGAACAACATGCCACTGTGACTCAGACTCAGGGTTCCTGCCACGGCTACCAACCCCCATCTGGTGAGGCAAGAGCTGACTGCCTTCCTCCGACGGCTTAAACTTCCAGGCATTCCGAGCGACCACATCTGCTTGAGAGTTCTGGGTTTTTCCTTTTGCGGTGTGCCTGCCTATGGCGGTCACTCCTTGCCCCAGCCCTGACGCCAGGCCTGCCCCTTCCCCACGGTCAGCGTTGTTCACCAGAGCCCACGGATGTAGAGTCTGCTGTGTGTGCCAGGCCCCAAATCCATACCACAGCTCTGAGCGGGTGCACTGGCGTCACGCCATCGTACGTGTGCAGAAACGGAGGCTCAGAGAAGCGCAGTGGCCTGCCCATGGCAACCGTCTCAGTTGCTCAGGCTGCCACAACAATGTACCACAGGCTGGGTGGCTGAAACAACAGACATCTATTTCCTCACAGTCCTGGAGGCTGGAGTCCAAGATCAAGGTGGCAGCAGGGCTGGTGTCTCCCCAGGCCTCTCTCCTTGGCTTGCGACGGCCACCTTCTCCCTGCGTCCTCACGTGGCCGTTCCCCTGTGCACATGCACCCCTGGCATCTCCGTGTGTGCAGATGTCCTGTTTGTATAGGGACACCAGTCGGGTTGGATTAGGGCCCACCCTAGCAGCCTCATTTTAACTAATCACCTCTTTAAAGGTCCTATCTCCAAATACACTCATATTCTGAGGTGCTGGGAGTTGGGGCTTCAACATAAGAATTTTGCAGGGACACAAACCAGCACCTAACAGCAACCCAGCTTATTAAATGGCAGAGCCAGCCACTAGGCTCTGTTGACTCTGACTCAGATTTTGCCGTGGCTGAGAAACCAGACACCACACGTTATGACTAGGACGCAGCTTTTGTATCAGTTGGCGTCCTCTGGGACTTTCTCGCCATCTTTCCTGTCCTTTGCTCTGGTCCAGACACCTGAGGCTATCCCAGAAGCCAAGTCCATCCAGATAAGTGACTGCAGATTCCAAGGTCCAGGGCACGGACTTAGTCAGAAAGACCTGTCTGGAGCCGGGTGTGGTGGCACATGCCTGTTAGTGCCAGATAGTCGGGAGGCTGAGGCAGGAGGATCGCTTGAGCCCAGGAGTTTGAAGCCAGCTTGGGCAACATAGCAAGAGCCTCCTCTCTAAAAAGATGTGTCTGGTCATGCAACCTGTAAGCCTCAGTTTCCCCATCTTTACAAAGGGAAAAAGCATTCTACTCTTACAAGGATGTTGTACGGATTAAATGAGAACATGGCTATAAAGAGCTTAGCCCAGTGCCTGGCACTTAGTAGGGTGCCCCAAAGTGGGCGTGCTCCTGGTGCCCAGCAGAGGCTGCCATTAGCTTAGCTCTGCCATCCCAGCCGGACGCTTGGCCTGGCCTCGGCACAGAGAGCGAGGTGAGTGGGGGGGAGCACACCCCTTTACTTCCGCTCTTTTAGTGATCTTTGTCCCTCCACCCAGCCACGGTGGGAGAGGACGCTGGGCAGGAGGGTGGTCGGGAGCCTGGGATGTATGGGGAAAAGAAGAAATGCTCCCATGCCACCCAACCCCGCCCTCCCCACAGCCTTCCGCAGTTACTTCGAGATGTTCGATGGCGCCGGCGAGGTGGACGCGCAGAGCCTGAAGAACATCCTGCTCCTCGTGGGCTTCTCGCTGACTCCCGCGCAGGTGGAGGACGCCCTGATGAGTGCTGATGTCAATGGTGAGGAGTAGCGAGGGGAGGGGCTCCCTGGCGTGAGACCTGTGCAGCCTCATGGGGCTCTGCGCTTAAAGGGTCCTGTGCTTGGTTTAATGCTCTGTGGTCACAGTCCAGAAATTCTCAGTAATTTCTGAACAAGGGAGCCCCACCCTGCATTTCCATTCTGCACCGGGTCTCACAAATAATGTGTAACTGGTCCTGCCTCCAGGAGTTAATGCTCCCTGAGCACCTACTCAGTGCCAGCTTCTGGGGACCCAGAGATGACAGAGACCTACCTCCTGACCCCGAGGTGTGGGTGACCTCGGAGATTCCCTTCCCTTCAGGCTCTCATGCATGCTTCACTGGACGTTCCGCCATGCCTCAGTCACTCATTGCACCAGCTGTACGACCTTGGACAGGTCACTGAAGTTCAGCAAGCCTCAGTTTCTCCATCTGTAAAGTGGGTCTGATAACAGCACCCATCTCACCAGGCTGCTGAGAAGATGAAATGAGATAATCCAGGCGAAGCCTTGAGCACAGCGCCTGGTGCACAGGATGTGCCCAGGAGACATTAGCTGCTAGTATTATTTATCCAACATTTACCCTGCCCATCCCTGTGTAGGACACCAAGGAGAGAGATGCGTGTCCTTGCAAAGGCTGAGCAGTTAAAAAAAGAGATGTGTAAAACCGTGAGCTCCTGTCCTTGAGAGTCTCACAGAAACGGTTACTGCCATAGGGGAGGGGCCAGCACAGAAGTGAGAGGCACCAATGGAAGCAGCATTTAAAGTGGCTTGGGGGAAGAGGTCAGGAAGGAAGGCTTCCTGGAGGAGGTGATGCTTGGGCCAAGTCGTGAATGATGAAGCAGGAGGCAGGAGGCAGGCAGGGAGAGAAGAAGGAAGAAGGGCATTCCTGGCGGCAGATATAGCCTGTACAAAGGGAAGAGAGTGCAGGGTGAGGGGAATCACGTGGGGTTTGCTGTGGCTAGATGTGGGGAATGACGTGGGCATGGGAGCAGACCTGCACGGGGCCTGGGCTCCTGACACCAGGTGTCATGACTCTGCTCCCTCCATCACTGCACAAGTCAGGAATTGACTCCCGCTCTGCCCCGAGAGCCCTAAGCAACAGCCTTCTTTTCTCTGTGCCTCTGGCCTCACCTGGGACATGGGGATAAGAGTATTAGACACCCCCATATGGCTGCTTTAAGAAGTAGAGACCATTTATTCACTTGTCAAGCAGTTCAGAGAACATCTACTAAGCACCTACCTGTCTTAAGCCCTGAGGACACAATGCAAAACAAGACAGCCCCAGTCCCTGCCACCCAGAATCTCCATTACATCCCAGATCTTACAAGCATGTGGTTGAAATGCCGGGTTTGCATGAGAGTGTTTGACGGGGGTCTGACCTGGTCTGGTAGGTTTCTGAGGAAGGGATGGTCAAGTGGAAGCACATATAGGGTGTTTACTAAGTCAGAGAGCTGGAGGGTGGTGGAGAGAATTCCAGGAAGAGGAAGCAGCATGTGCAAAGGCCCTGAGCAGGGAAGAATGTGGCCCCAGGTAGGAAAGCAGGTTGGTGCTGGGCGAGCTTGGCACAAGGTGAGGCTGGAGACAGGTAACAGGCAGATCCTGCAGGGCCTTCAAGGCCAAGGTGGGACACTTGTGGGTACGTGTTACTGTGTAGTGACAAGCACATAAGAATACTAGTCACTGGCATTTAGTGGGCATGTATTACATGCATGGCACTGTTCTACACGCTTTGACTCATTTTACTAATATCTCCCATGAGGTAGCTATTATGATTATCCTCACCCCATAGATGAAAAATCTAAAGCTTAGTGCGGGGAGAGAATTTGCCAAGGCCACACAGATGGTCAGTGGTGGACCTGGGATATGAACCCAGGCAACTGCCTCCAGGATGGAAGTTTCCACAGCTTCTAACCCAGGAGATTTGAATGTTTGCCTTCTACTTTCTTGGGTGCCCCACATTTTCCCCATTGAATATGCATTACTTTTATAATCAGACCCAATGGGTAACTGCTAATAAGCATGCCTAGGCTGCAGGCCCCTGCCCACTGGGTTACTCCTCTGGCTCCACAGGAGATGGTCGTGTGGACTTCAGAGACTTCTTGGCTGTGATGACAGACACCAAGCGCTTCTTCTGCTCCATGGGTGAGCAGGGATGAGCCCGGGGCAGTCAGAGCTGGAGGTGGGGGCCAGGTGGCTGGGAGGGGGAGATGATTCAGGACCACCAAATGGTAATGGCAGCCACCATCCCATGTCCCCAGAACAGAATGCCCTGATGGACATGGCTCCCCCAAACCCCCACACTCTACTCTTCGAGATCCTGTCCCTGCTGGTGGAGATGCTGGCTTTACCGGAGGCAGCCTTAGAGGAAATCACAAAGTGAGTGGGGCTGGCTTGTTGGGGTAGAGGGTTAAGGACACTGAGGTGGCACCTAGCACTTTCGCAGCTGAGAACTTTTGGTAGTTAGGACTCTGTCACGAGTGAAAGAAACCTAAATAAGAACGGTTTAAGCAAAGGGGAATGTATGGGTTCAAATAACTGGTCAGGGTCTCAGGAATGGCTAGATCCAGGAGACCAAATAATACCAGTAAGGCTTTATCTGTCCATTTCTGTGCACTGGCTTGGAGCTCAGCTGGGCTCTCCCCTCGGGGGAGGGATGGCAACCTGCATGCAGCCCCACACTCACACCCCCCTACTTCAGCAACCTCAGCAGCAAGAATTCTTTCCAGTAGTACTCAACTAGCAATTCCAGAAAAGGAATGTGATGGACCCTGCCTGGGGCCAGAAGACAAAAGCTTCCTATGTCTCCAGGGTATGGAGGGTAGGTAGTAGGGGTAGGCAGTTGTTCATCTAAGAAGGAGATGGCCACTGGTGCAAACAACACGCACATTCCAGTGCTAGAGCAAAAGGTGAAGGCTGCATAGCCCAGCTGATCTCCAACCAGCAGTTTCAGGCCTCCGAGGACCCCCTAGCCTCCATTTCTTGCCTTTGAAATAAACATATTTTGATACTTGCTGCTCTGTAACTGCTAGCTTCCAACACAGGTGGTTGTGAGGGTCAAACGAGATCAGAATGCAAAGGCACTTTGTTGATTGCTCTGCACCATTTTTGAAACTGTGTTAGAGAAAACCCTGGGATCTGGTGGGAGGAAGAAAGAATTTGGAGCTCTGCCTGTGCCTCTTACTAGTCCTGTAGCTTTGGGCAAGTCACCTTCTCTCAAGCCTCAGTTTCTTCATCTGTAAAATGGAGACATATTTCCTTGACTCTTCAATGCAAGTGACAGAGGATAGATACAAGGGTAACTCACAAAATTGAACCTGGGTCATAGGGTAGGTGTGTTTGTTTAGTTATAAGAAACTGCTAGACCTTTTTCTAAATGGTTGTACCATTTTACAGTCCCACCAACAACATATGGCTGTTCCAGTTACTAAACATCTTGTTCAAATTTGGTGCTGTTAGTTTTTTAAATTTTAGTCATTCTTTTAATTTTTTTTTATTTTTTGAGACAGGCTCTCACTCTGTCACCCAGCCTGGGGTACAGTGGTGTCATCATAGCAAACTGCAGCCTGGAACTCCTGGGCTCAAGCCATCCTTCAGCCTCCCAAGTAGCTAGAACTACAGGTGTGAGCCATTATGTCAGGCTAATTTTTCTATATTTCGTGGAGATGAGGTCTTGTTATCTTGCTCAAGCAGGTCTCAAACTCCTGCCCTCAAGCCATCCTCTTGCCTCATCCTCCCAAAGTGCTGGAATTACATGCGTGAGCTGCAGCATCCGGCCTAATTTTAGTCATTCTGGTGGGATGTGTAGTGGCGCATTTTGTTTTTTACTCACATTTGTTTGCATTCCTGAATAATTTACTGTTAAGTTTTCCATGTTTTTGAACTGTATATGAGTGGAATCATACTTCAAGCCTTCTGTTACTTGCTTTTTGTCCTCGACATTGTGTTTTGACGATTCATCCATGTTTTTGTGGGTAGCAGCTGGAGATCACTGATCATTTTCAGTGCTACAGACTATTATGTAGTATGACTGTATCACAATATATTATTTGTTCTGCAGACGGACTTTAGGGCTATGTTCAGTTTCCAGCATGGTACACGATGCAGATATTCTCATATATGTCTCCTAGGACACATGGGCAAGAGTTCCTCCAAAGTAGCAGTTTTCAAATTTTTTGGTCTCAAGACTAACCCTTTACTCTCTTAAAAATAATTGAGGACTCCAAGGAGCATTTATCAATATTTTCTATATCTGAACTTAAAACTGAGAAAAATTTAAGATATGAATTTACTTAACAATAACCCCATTACATGCGTAACCTAAATAACATTTTTAATTTAAAATAAAACTATATTTTCCAAAACAAACAAAAAAGTTAATGAGAAGAATGGCATTGTTCTATAGTATTTCAAATCTTAAAGAGATTTAGTGTCTGGCATAAAAGAAGGCAGCTAGGTTCTCATAACTGCTTCTGCGTTCCATCTGTTGTGATAGGTTTTTTGGTTGAAGTGTATGAAGAAAATCTTGCCTCATGATAACATGTAATTAGAAAAGGGATTATCTTAGCCTTTTCATTAGCCATGTACCACATGGATATTTTTCTCTGATACTTCACCAAACTGTCACAAGCAGTATTGTCTTAAAGGTTGGTTGCAATATGGAATCTGAAACCATGTCAATGAACTTTTCTTATTCTTTTAAATTAAAATCTATTGGTCAGGCCGGGCATGATGGCTTGTGCCTGTAGTCCCAGCTACTTGGGAGGCCATGACAGGAGGATCACTTGAGCCCAGGAGTTTGAGGTTGCAGGGAGCTATGATGATGCCACTGTACTCTACCCAGGGAGACAGAGCAAGACTGTCTCAAAGAAAGAAAAAAATTTTAAAAAATCTATTAGTCTGCCTTGCAATTTAAATGGATCTTTTCCCATGAATGTTTTTGTAATATTATATAGTGGTCATTTGGAAAATATGCGTATCTTTGAAATGTTGACACATTTTATAATTATTATATATATAAATATTAATATTACCACCAGTCTCATCAGATGAGTCTTTAAGTATTAAATGTTGTATATTGCTATAGTTCATTTTCACTGTTAGAAACTATTCTCTGTATCAATATGTATATGCTTATAGTGAATTTAAGTTTCCAAAATGTTAATTTTAACTCAGAGGCTCAAATTGTTCCATAGGCAACAAATGCTGTCAGTTGTTTCACTTAAAATGATAGACTAACTTCACTTATTTTTGAGAAAATATCTGTCAAATACCCAAGGAGAAATAACTATAGTTTGTCCTGTTTGCAAGTAAAAATGGCATTCTATGAAAAAAGTGGCTAGTTTAGCCCACAACTCAATTTTGCAAGTGCTTTTCCTCAAGACAATCACAGTACTTTGGTATACAGCAGAAGGGCTTTACAGAACGCAGGACAGATGAAGTGGCTTACACCTGTAATCTCCACATTTTGAGAGATCAAGGTGGGAAGACTTCTTGAGGCCATGAGTTCAAGACCAGCCTGGGCAACATAGTGAACCCATCTCTACAAAAAATTTAAAAAATTAGCTGGGTGTGGTGGTGTGCAATTATGGTCCCAGCCACTTGGGAGGCTGAGGCAGGAGGTTTGCTAAAGCCCAGGAGTTCCAGGCTGAGTGAGCTATGATGATGCCACTGCACTCCAGCCTGGGAGACCAGGGCAAAAAAAAAAAAAAGTACAGAATATAAAAGTGATGTGTACTTAAGGGTCAAGCATTAATAAAGTTAATAATTTTAAATTTTACCAAGGACTTTTTTTTTCCACTATGAGTGCAAGTGAACTTGCCTTGAAGAATTCAATAATTCAATGACTTTAATTGCAGTTCAGTGCCACTTCCTTGATTTGTGCTAAGGATAAGTTTTTGTGGCCTCAGAGCCTGTAGTCATAGCTATTTGGGAGGTAGAGGTGGAAGGACTGCTTGAGCCTGGAAGTAGATGGTTGCACTGAACTGTGACCGACCCTGTCTCAAAAAATAAAAACATAAAACATAAAAAATGAAATAAAGGCTGGACACGGTGGCTCACACCTATAATCCTACCACTCTGGGAGGCTGAGGCTGGCGGATCATTCAAAGTCAGGAGTTCAAAACCAGCCTGAGCCAAGAGCGAGACCCTGTCTCTACTAAAATAGAAATAAATTAATTGGCCAACTAAAAACATATATATATATAAAAATAGCCGGGCATGGTCGCACATGCCCGTAGTCCCAGCTACTCATGAGGCTGAGGCAGGAGGATTGCTTGAGCCCAGGAGTTTGAGGTTGGTGTGAGCTAGGCTGACACCATGGTACTCACTCTAGCCTGGGCAACAAAGCGAGACTCTGTCTCAAAAAAAAAAAAAGAAAAGAAATAAAATAACATGGGCAAAATACCTGGATACCTAACTAAACAAGATTTATGGATGTATGGATGACAAGCATTGAAATGACATCATATGTCACTAAAGAATTCCAAATAACGGCACAATGAGATACTTCTACACACCTATTAGAATGGCAAAGTCCAAAATACTGACTATGTCAAATGCTGGTGAGGATGTGGAACAACAAGAATTCCTATTTATTGCTGATGGGAGTGCAAAATGGTACAGCCACTTTGGAGACAGTTCGGCAATTTCTTACAAAACTAAACATACTCTTAACATAGGATCCAGCAATTGTGCTCCTTGGTATTTACCCAAAGGGACTGGAAATCTATATACACAAAAACTTTTACCTGGATTTTATAGCAGCTTTATTCATAATTGCCAAAACTTGGAAGCAACCAAGATGTCCTTCAATAGGTGAGTAGATAAAGAAAACGTGGCACATTCTGACAGTAGAACATTATTCAGCACTAACAAGAAATGAGCTAATAGACCATGAAAAAACATAGAGGAAACTTAAATGCACATTTCTAAGTGAAAGAAGCCATGTGAAAAGGTTGCAACTATATAACATTCTAAGAAAGGCAAAATTACAGAGACAGTAGAAAGATCAGTGGTTGCCAGGGGTTAGGAAGGAGGGAGAGATGAATAGGCCAAGCACAGAGTTTTAGATAAACTGCTCTGTATTAGACCCTAATGATGGATACACGACATTTTATAATTGCCAAAACTCAGCTGGGTGCAGTGTCTCGAGCCTGTAATCTAGCACTCTGGGTGGCTGAGGTGGGAGGATTGCTTGAGCTCAGAAGTTTGAGGTTACAGAGCAAGACTCTGTTTCAAAAAAACAAACAAAAAAACCCCCAGAACCTCAATGTAGACAGGTGCAGTGGCTCACACCTGTAATCTGAGCACTTTAAGAGGTCAAGGTGGGAGGATCACTTGTGTCTAGGAGTTCAAGACCAGCCTGGGCAACATAGCAAGACCTCCCCATCTCTAAAAAATAAAAATCTAGCCAGGTGTGGTGGCACACACCTGTAGTCCCAGCTACTCAGGAGGCTGAGGTAGGAGGATTGTTTGAGCCCAGGAGTTCGAGGCTGCAGTGAGCTATGATCACACCACTGCACTCTGGCCTGGATAGAGCGAGACCTTGTCACTAAACAAACAAACTCAATGTACAACAAACACTAGGAAAAAAACCTACTGTAATTTGGGAATGTCTTAATTTTTTCCTTATTCTTGATGGACGGTTTTGTCAGATATAAGATTCTTAGTTAACAGTTTTCTTCTTATGGCACTTTGAATATATTAGCCCCCTGCTTCTAGCCTCCCAAGTTTATGGTGAGGAATCTGCTGATTATTTTACTGAGGATCACTTGTATGTGACACATTGCTTTTCTCTTATTGCTTTCTTTTTTATTTATTTATTGCTGCTAAACATCCTATAATGCATCTTGTTGTCTTCAAGATTCTCTGTGTCTTTGCCTTTTTAAAGTTTGATTATAATGTATCTCAGAGTGGGTTGCATTGAGTTAATCTTACTTGGAGTTTGTTGAGCTTCTTAGATATTTATATTCATGTCTTCTACCAAATTTGGTAAGTTTCAGCCATTATTTCTTTGAATATTCTCTCTGCCCTTTTCTCTCTCTCTTCCCCTTCTGGAACTCCCACAATGTGTATGTTGGTCTGCTTGAAGGTGTCCTACATGTTCCTTAGGCTTTGTTCACCTTTCATCAGTCTTTTTCATTCTCTTCCTCAGACTTGACCATTTTCACTGTCTTATCTTCAAGTTCACCGATTCTTTAGCCTGCCTGCTCAAACCTGCCTTGAATCTCTTCCAGTGAATTTTTCATTTCAGTTATTGTACTTTTCAGTTCCAGAATTTTTTTGGTTTCTTTTTGAGTTTTCTATTTCTTTATATTTCCATTTTGTTCATACATTGTCTTCTTGACTTTCCCCACGTCTCTTTTTTTTGAGACACAGTCTTTACTCTCTTGCCTGGCTAGAGTGCTGTGGTGTCAGCCTAGCTCACAGCAACCTCAGACTCCTGGGCTCAAGCGATCCTCCTGCCTCAGCCTCCCGGGTAGCTGGGACTACAGGCATGAGTCACCATGCCCAGCTAATTTTTTCTATATATTTTTAGTTGGCCAATTAATTTCTATTTCTAGTAGAGACTGGATCTCGCTCTTCCTCAGGCTTCTTTTGAACTCCTGACCTTCAGCGATCCTCCCGCCTCAGCCTCCCAGAGTAGTAGGATTACAGGCTGAGCCACCGTGCCCCACACTCCACGTCTTCCCTTAGTTCTTCAAGCATTTCAGACAGTCATTTTAAAGTTTGTCCAGTAGATCTAGCATCAGGTCCTTTTTTATTGACACTCTCTATTAATTTTTTTCTTTGAGCTGTACTTTCCTGTTTCTTTAAATGCCTCTGATTTTTTTTTTTTGAGACAGAGTCTCACTCTGTTGCCTGGACTAGAGTGCTGTGGCGTCAGCCTAGCTCACAGTAACCTCAAACTTCTGGGCTCAAGCAATCCTTCCGTCTCAGCCTCCCAAGTAGCTGGGACTACAGGCACGCGCCACCACGCTCAGCTAATTTTTTCTATATAGCTTTAGTTGGCCAATTAATTTCTATTTTTAGTAGAGATGGGGTCTCCCTCTTGCTCAAACTGGTTTTAAACTCCTGACCTTGAACCATCCTCCTGCCTTGGCCTCCCAGAGTGCTAGGATTACAGGCATGAGCCACCCACGCCCAGCTGAAAACTGAGTATTTGAATCTAATAATGTCCTATGTAAATCTGATGCTCCCCCTTCCTCAGGGAGAGAATTGCTATTTTTTGTTATTGTTATTATTTATTGTTTGACTGTTATAGGATGTCTCTGTGCCATGGATCAATCTGAGGTAAAAACTTAAGGTCTTCTCAGATCTTTTCTGAGCCTGACCTTTCCCTGGGCACTGGAGGAAATATATTTCCTCTAATCTGATTTAATATATATTTTCCCCAATATATGCACTTGCTTTTGAATATCCTAGTCTTTAATGTCTGCCTCCCCAAAGTGTTAAGAGAGGAAAGTGAAGGGGGCAGAAAAAGGGCAATGACCCTTTAAATACCTTAAAGTCACTTCAGCTGGAGGAGTGGCCTGCAACAATGGGGGCAGGCTCTTGCAACAATGTGGGGAGGTGCAACAACAGTGGCTGCCCACCTCTTTGTCTGAGCCTTTGTGCCATGAAGCAACAATCAGAGATCAGAGCACAGATCTCCCTGGGGAGGTAAATCCCGGGTGTTTCCCACTCTACATCTTCCTCTAATCTGATTTAAAGCCCATCCAATGAATTATTTTGTTTCAGGTATTGTATTTTTCATGTTTCAAAACTGTATTTGGTTCTATTTCATGGGTTTTGTTTCTCTCCTCCTGTTCATATTTTCCTTTTTTTGAAACTGAGTCTCACTCTGTTGCCGACGCTAGAATGCAGTGACATCATCTTAGCTCACTGCAACCTCAAACTCCTGGGCTCAGGTGATCCTGTCTCAGCCTCCAGAGTAGCTGGGACTACAGATGTGCACCACCACGCCCAGCTAATATTTCTATTTTTAGTACAGACAGTGTCTCCCTCTTGCTCAGGCTGGTCTCAAACTCCTGAGCTCATGCGATCCTCCTGTCTCATCTTCCCAGAGTGCTAGGATTACAGGCGGGAGCCACCATGCTGAGGCCTGGTATTATATCTTTATTTGTTCATGGTCTGACTATTCCATTAGGTCTGTGTCCAGGTAGTTGATTTGAGAAGTGATTCCAGGGAGCAGGAGTAAGGCAAAGAGTGTGAACCGTGAAGGAGGAAGTGCCAATACAAGGATGTGTTACTGAGTTGAGCACCTCCCAGGCTCTTCTGAGGAGACTCAGAAGTGTATCTTCAATGTACAGGGGGATAAAACAAAACAAAACAAAGAGGAAGAAAGGGAAATGCCTCTATACCTCTATACCTGACACCTTTGGCCAAGGGTGGCCCCACAAGTGTTTTAGCTCCCCTGCACTGGGTTCTGGGTTGCACATGTGTCAGAGAAGCCCCAGGGCACAAAGCAAGAGGCTCAGGTCTGAGATGAGACCTGCAGGGTTGCCCTGCACAAAGCTGGTTGAAGCCTGTGTGGAAGTGGTTGCTGTGGCAGCGGCTGGGCTGGAATAAGAGGGGCTGAGACCATGACACAGGGACCTGTGTGGATGTCTTTCACTACTCTTGCCCAAGCACCTAGAAGAATGGTCAGCACATGGTGAACACTCAGTGAATATCTGCTGAATGAATGGTGCTGCAGTCTATTGAAGGAAAAGGCAAGGAGTAATGAGTTAAGAAAACCAAGTAGGGCTGGGGGGCTGGGCTCGGTGGCTCACACCTGTAATCCTAGCACTCTGGGAGGCCAAGGCGGGCGGATTGCTCAAGGTCAGGAGTTTAAAACCAGCCTGAGCAAGAGTGAGACCCCGTCTCTACTATAAATAGAAAGAAATTAATTGGCCAACTAATATATATAGAAAAAATTAGCCGGGCATGGTGGCACCTGCCTGTAGTCCCAGCTACTCGGGAGGCTGAGGCAGTAGGATTGCTTGAGCCCAGGAGTCTGAGGTTGCTGTGAGCTAGGCTGACGCCATGGCACTCACTCTAGCCTGGGCAACAGCGAGACTCTGTCTCAAAAAAAAAAAAGAAAACCAAGTGGGTCGTGGGCTATGACGGGGTAGATACAGGTTGTTAGGAGGCTGACAGCAGGAGCCTAGCTAATTTGGCAGGGAGGGGAGGACAGAATTTCTGGAGGAGATGCTCCCTAGGCTAAAATCCAGAAGATGAGCAGGAGTTAACTGCACAGCTGATTTACAAAGCACTTACACATCTAAGTAAAAATATCAGTGATAAAATTATAGGTAACATGTACCAAGGTTACCAAATTATAGGTAACATGTTCTTTCTTTGTGCCAGACATTGTGCTGAGTGCTTGACGGGCCTTATTTAATCCTTATTATTTAATCTTACAGCATGTGGACTGTTCGATCCATTTTACCCAGGGGAAACCTGAAGCTCAGAGAAGTCAGATGACTTGCAAACTTGCAGTTCCAGGGAAGAGATGACTATATCCCCCCATTTTACATAGGGGGACTGAGGCCCAGAGCAAGGCAGTGACTTACCCATGGTCACAGAAAATTAAGGGCAGAGCTGGGACTAGAATCCAGGCCTCCAGATTGCAGAGCTTGTAGTCCTGTTCCAGAGCTAGACAGACAGAACAGGGGCTTAAGAGTGGGGTGAATTAAACAGCCAGGCTGACCTAGGTGGGCACTGCCTCCCCAGCTACTACCAGAAGAAGCTGAAGGAAGGCACCTATAAGGCTCATGAGATGGAATCAGCCATAGGCCGGCTGCGGTCGAGGAAGAAGCTTTCCTGCAACCCCCAGCAGGCAGACAGCTTGGAAGTCAAAGAACGAAGGGTCCTCCGGATCCTGAGCCGACTAAAGCAACAGAACTATGGTGAGACCCCGGGCATGGTGGGCTGGGCTGGGAGCTCTGCTCTCTTGCTCAACTGGCTGTCTACACAGCCAGACCCAAGGAGCTGAGAGGCTTGGCTTTTTTAAGCCCACTTTGGGCTTAACGGTGTATATCCATAAATGGGCTAATAATCACTATTTCACATCCAGCCTTGTGACAACGGCCTCCTGAACAGGTCGGTCCCAAGAGTAAGAAGGGTGCAACTGCAGAGAGATTAGCAATCTCAGCTCACTGCTTGAGCACCCACTGGGGTCAGTCACTGTGCTAGGCCCTTGGCAGATGCACTATAATTTAATCCTCATAATCATGTTTTTACCCCATTTACAGATGAGAAAACTGAAACTGATGAAGGTTAAGCAACTTGCCCAATTGTCTCAGCTGTTGTGTTAGGGGAGTTTATACCAAGGTCTGACCTTAAAAACTATGCTCTTTCCACTGGGCAAGCCAGTCTCCCTGGCCCAGGTACCATTTATTAGGCTCCTGCTGTGTATTAAGTGATAGGACAGGAGCTCTGTAGTGTTTCTAGAGTGTGCCTCCCAGACTCTGCCAGGACCCATCACAAAACATCTGCTCCATTTTCAACTGTTACCAGCCCTTATTCTGTGCTCAGTGTTCAGCTGAGTGCTTTGCATCTATTACCCTATAATCTTCACCAGCAACTGAGGTGGGAACTACTATTTTCTCCAGCTTAGAGGCTCAGGGAGAGGTTAAGTGACTTGCCCAAACCCACCCAGCTCATTATGTGGCACAGCCAGGATTTCACCTGGGTCTGCCTGCCTCCCAAGGCTGGGCATGCTCTGGAGTACTCCCCCTCCTGCCTCCTTCTCCACCAGCTGCCAACCTGCAGAGCCCCTATACCCAGGTACCCTGCATCCCACTCTGCCCAAGGATGGACAAGAAGACAGCCCGACGGAAGCAGAGCAACCACTACTTGCTAGACCAGGGCGCCCCTACTGGCCTGGGCCCTGACATCGGTAGCCTCTTATTCCAGTCAGGATCTCAAGGAAGCAGGTGGGTGCCTGAAGAACAAGGTCCCCAACCCAAGCCCTTCCACCTCCTTCCTTAAGAGGCCCCTGGCATAATGTCTGGGTAATCTACCTTTCCAAGAGTTGATACCTTGGAGACTATGCACTCCAGGAAGAAGAGAGGATGGATGGGGAAGAAACTAACCTTCACTGAGGGCCAGTGAACCAGGTAGACTGTTTCACCGAAGCTAGGGCATTCCTGTGCCGAGGACTCAGTGGCATGGGCACTCACTGTCTCTTTCTTAGGCTGGCACTATTCCCCCTTTCCCATGCAGGGAGTTTAACTCTGAGCTCCTTTGTCCAAGTCTGGGTCCGTATCAGGAGTGGCAGGCTTAGCACCTGGGCAGAGGGGAGCGTCCTCTGCAGCAGGGGAACCTCAGGGGAAAAGAGCCCTGGACTTGGAATCAGGCCTGTAAGCCCAACTGCTGGCCCTACCATTCCCACCTGAGCACGCAGGAATGGCTCATGTCTTGGCAGGATTGTAGGGAGAGCCAGACATCTCTCACCCTTCTGTCCTACCCCTCTCCCCAGGGAACACAGTTCTGACAGCAGAAAGTGGCTCAGCTCTGTCCCGGCTCGAACTCACTGACCCTTTGGAGTCCTGACTCTAGGCAGCTGTTCAAGGCCTGCAGACAGACGGTCATCAGGCAGGGGCTGTGGCTGGAGTTTGCTTTTGTGGCCTGGTAAGCCAATAAACACCAAGAACTTCAGCCTCGGTGCTTGGTTCCAAGGCAGGCCCTCCCCCCCGCCGAAGGCTCCAGCCCCCCTCCAGGCAAAACTCACCTCAAAACCCTGCCCAGAGTTGGGGTTCCTGCTAAAGGTGCCTCTAGGTACAAAATCTTGACCTTCTGTGCATTCTCAAAGCACAAAGCTGGGCCTCTCCTCGGATCAGTGTCTCCCCACCTTGGACTAGGGAGCCCCACAAAGGCAGGAATTCTCTCTCTACTTGCTCTAAGGGAGTGGTGAACATAAGGGGAGGGGCCCTGAAACCATCACACCCTGTGGAAAGACAGGAGGTGGCCTCAGCCATGCTCTTCCATGACAGAGCCCCAAGACTCAGGGGTCTCCTTCATTTAGAGCCTTAGTGGGATGGGTTTCTGCCCCACAACCCACATACCACCCAGCCTATTTCTCCACCAGAGTCTCTCCCTGAGACTGAGCAGAGGTAGCTCCCAGGGTTAAACAAACAGTCATAGCAAGAGGTAGGAAGCCAGGGACTGAAATGAGGACAAGGATCTGACAAGTTTAAAACATGTATTTAAAATACAATTTATAAAATGCTTAATCTGCCGACTCAGGAGCCCGCGGTGCAGGGTGTGGTAGGGGTGGGCAGCTGCCCGCTATACCAGCAGAGCAAGGCTGCAGGGGTGCGGCCCTCCCTCCCATGCCCTTCTGTTCAGACACCATGGGGCCCATATGCACCCCTGGGATCACACGGCAAGAAAACAGGACCCCAGAGGTTTCTTGAGTCTCTGCTTACCAAGGAGGCTGGGTGCAGCCCTGCCGGCCTATCCCTGAGCAGAGCACCCCCAGATGGGGCAGAGCAGGGTATGGCTGGGCAGGGCAGGGCTGGGTGGGGCAGGTGGGCTCTGGAAGGGGCTGATGTAGCAGATAGGGTGTTGCCTCCTGCCTGCAGGTGGGGAGCACCCTGATTGAGTGGGCTGAGAAGGGTTGGTCACCAAGCCTGGACCCCCAGCTCCTTTGGTTATAGGCTGACATCAGAGTAGTGGCTCATGGGAAGCGGTTAGCTGGAAGGTCTGAGGCCTGGCTCATGGGGTCAGGGAGGAGCTGGGGGAAGGGGACAGTACCGTGAAGGCAGATAAAGGGGCCTCAGGTTTCTGCCCCCCATCCCCCTGGGGTTTTCTAAGCCAAAGCCTGCAACTTACTTTAAAAAAGAAAAGAAAAAAAGCACTTAAGGAAAGTTACAGACAACTACTAAGAAAAAGAAAACCCACACAAAATCCAAACCGTTTTCTCATCTCCCCTCCCACCTCCCCCCAACACAATAAAGTTTCCTGTTTTCTTTTCTTTCTTTTTTTTAATTTTGCTTGCCACCTCTCCATCTGGAAGCCAGGGCATGACTGCTGGTGGGTGGTGACAGGCACACAGCGGGCAGAGCCCTATCTTTGGCAGGACGGAGGTGGCAGCACCAGTCCCCGCCACATCCTCAATCCACAGACACCCACCAGCCTCCTCCATGTGGCTCCCACTGGAGGGGTTGGGGTTAGAACAGATGGTCCCAATGGCTGAGCAATCAGCACTCCTCCTGGCCTTCCCACCGGGACTACCTCTGCACCCTTCTCAAGAGAAAGGACAGTCTCACATTGGGCCAGAAACCACTATTACATGAGGGATGGACACTATACATTTAGAATGTGGACACTTGGTCAGGGCAGTGGAACTATAAAGATAGCAGCCAATTTTCTTCCTTACCCACTCCTGGAGATAGTTCTCCCTCTTACTTACTGAAGCTCTGTTCCAGCTCTGCTCAAGGAAAATTCCTGGCTTCACACAGCTGTAAAGCTGTGCTATGGACCAGTCACTGACTCAACTGGCAGCTGGCCCTTCCTCCTAAGGGGAAGATATAGCGAGACATGGCTTGCTGGGCCTGGCCTACCATTCCCACAGCTCCTGCGAGGCGGAGAGCTAGGTGAACCAAAAGTGGAGGGAGCCAGTGAAACTCAGCTTGCCACCTTGGCCACCATGTGCTGCCCCAATCGCAAAACCAGACCAACCACTCCAAAACTTATCTGCTGGTTAGGAGTGGGGAGGCCATCTGGCTGGCTAAGGGATAAGGTGCAGTACAAGAGAAGGGACCAGAAAGCCTGAGAGGTTGTACTACATACACAGAGCTGCTCTAGGCAGCTGCCTCTTCCACCTCTAGGAGCCAAAGCAAATCTCCAGGGACAGAGGAAGAACTGCCTTCATTCCAGGCCCTTGCTCTGGAAAAAGGGGTGAAGGGTAGCCTAGGTCTACAGGGAACCAGTCTGTCACCAATCTTTGCAATGCAAAGCTTTTCTTTTCCCAACTTTATTCAGAATGGTCTGCTCCCAAGGTACTGATTTCACACAGGAAATGTACCAAGTAAAGCTACTGAGCTAGGGCCATTAACAGAGATGGAGCACCGCAGATCCTTACGAGTTCAAGCCTTGCTGGAGTGGGAAGATCTAGTCACCTTTTGACCACATTAGGCAGAAGGCTCAGGGTCCTGGAGCCAGACTCTCCCCAGTCAGCAAAATACTGAACAAGTCTCCGAGTCCTTTACTTCTAAATTCAGGAGTGCAGTCTCACTCCCTGATGCTACCTGCCTTCTTCTAGAAGTAGCAAGCCTGGCTGGTAGGGAACCACCCTGAGGGATATGGGAAGGGGAAGTCTGTTCACTTTCCCTATCTCCCAAAATACTAGAGGTGGGGTTGGCACCCTCCCCAGGCTCTCTGAGCCTACAGAGCTAGCCCAGTCTCCAGGCAAGGCCAAGATGCCCTGGGACTTAGCTGGGGGAGGGAGGTATAGGCATGGGGTGCTCATCTGTCCTGGGGGCTGCAGAGCCCTGCCCCTTTTCTGGGCGGCAGTAGGAATACAGAAGCTAAGCTCACCAAAATCCTATTGGTTAATGTTTCTAGTGAACGTCCCAGAAACATTTTTTAAGTAGACTACCAAACTACCTTTTCTCAATTAAAAATTCATTAAACTGCTAAAATCCCTCCCATGCGCTTTTTCTTGCAAATCAGATATTTGTATAAACAAACAAAAATAGGAAAAAAAAAAAAAAGAAAGGAATTTAAAATGGAACTTACTTTTCTAAGTGAGTGAAGACACTGCAACTTGGGCGTGGGTGGGTTGGAAGTTCTCATTTGTGTTTTGAAATCCCAAATTAATGAGCATGATAAACTGTTATTGCTGGCACTGGCTTTACCCCAAGTGGCCAAGTGGCACTGTCTGACTCTCTACTCTGAGTCCTTGGTGGGTCCCCCCAACCATCCCCTAATTCCCACCCTTTCCCTTTCCATTGACTTGGGACAGCCCTTGTCGACATGCCAATCACAGTGGGAAGAAGGGAGAAGGGGGAGGTCAATGCATGGGGTTCAAGGTCACAGTGGCGAGCAAGGGGGATCACAGTGCAAGTAAGTCAGGTCGTTCCCTCTGCTCAAGTCCAGCTGTCTGCCACGGCAGTGCAACCCGTGGGCGACGACGCCCAGGAGGCGGTGACGGGGCAGCGGCACCCCTTTCTCGCCTGCATTTATCTGCGCTGTTTGAAGCCTGTGACCCATCAGGACCCAAAGGCTGTCTGATCACATTATTGGGCTGCCTGCTTTCTTCTGGCTGGGAGATCCTGGTTGGCCTGAAGGGAAGAAGATCAGAGGAAGGCCTGAAGAAGGATATTAAAGATGTCCCCAATCTTAAAACCTACCACCTTGGAGCTGAGGCAAAAGTCACAGTGGCTGGCAGCCAACTCTGGCTCCATGAGTCTGCTGCTTTGGCAGGCAGACTCAGGGTATCTCCAAGCTGGTAGGTCCCTGTGGGCAGGTGGGGCCAGCAGTCCACGGTCACTTCTAGGAGCTACAGCATTCTTCCCCCTAGGCTGGGTCACCATCATTCATTTGTAGGTAGAAAGAGTGCTCAAGGGTCCATTCTGTCCAGAGGCAATGACCAAGGACAGCACATCTCCGCAGAACCATGTTGCACAGACTCTCCAGAATGTCAGGCCAAAGTGTAGAGCCCTAACCAAGAGCTCAGCAAAGGCACATGTCCCCCACCATTTCTATCTTCCTGCCTTTCTCTCCAAACCATGTGGTTACAGGTTGACTGGTATTACTAGAGAACACTAAATAAAGGAAATGTACTTTTTCCACTACACAAAGGTAAAGACTTAGAGGAGAAACAACAGAGATAACAAATATTCCTTCAAAATTATAAAGGGACATGGCTGGGTGTGGTGGCTCACGCCTGTTAATCCTAGCACTCTGGGAGGCTGAGGTGAGAGGACTGCTTGAGGTTAGGAGTACAAGACCAGCCTGAGCAAGAGCGAGACCCCGTCTCTACTAAAAATATTAATAGAAAAAATTAGCCAGGGTGGTCATGCACGTCTGTAGTCTCAGCTACTAGAGAGGTTGAGACAGGAATTTGAGGGTTGCAGTGAGCTATGATCGCACCACTGCACTCTAGCCAGGGTGACAGAGGGAAAATCTGTCTCAAAAAATAAACAGGCCGGGCGCAGTGGCTCACGCCTGTAATCCTAGCTCTCTGGGTAGCCGAGGTGGACGGATTGCTCGAGGTCAGGAGTTCAAAACCAGCCTGAGCAAGAGCGAGACCCCCGTCTCTACTATAAATAGAAAGAAATTAATTGACCAACTAACATATATAGAAAAAATTAGCCGGGCATGGTGGCGCATGCCTATAGTCCCAGCTGCTTGGGAGGCTGAGGCAGCAGGATTGCTTGAGCCGAGGAGTTTGAGGTTGCTGTGAGCTAGGCTGACACTGTGGCACTCACCCTAGCCTGGGCAACAAAGCGAGACTCTGTCTCATAAATAAATAAATAATATTATGAAGGGACAGAAAGTACACAGACTAGTTCTTCAAGTATCAGAATACCAAGCCAAATAGGCCCCTCAAAGTTAGAAAGAGGACCTCTTAACAAATATTAATTTTACCAGGAAGTGAAAAACTTCCATAATGCAACTGCTAATATTGCAGAGAAAAAAAATGCCAAGGG